CAATAATAATAATAAAACTCATAATTACCAATAATATACAATAACGTCATGCACGTAATTATGCGTGACCGTACGTGGCGTACTCCACTAACAAACTAATCATCAGTCGCCTACCGGCATTAACTTCGTACCGTAACCGATTTATCAACCCCGTTCTTTTCATTCATTTCACCAAAACTGGCAAATCGGCCAGTTGGCGCGGGTGCCTTTTGGGCCATTACTTACTTTGAAAATATGTGAGGTTTTTCGCTAGGTTAGCTTCACATTTCGGTGAACGAGAATGACATTGTGTTTTCCGAGCGCTATACTGCCTCGCTTCCAGTTTCGAGAGTACAAACATACGGACTACATTGCCATGTGTAATCAAAAACACGACGAAATGTACTATGTTTTTTCACTCTTACTTTTGTTCATATATTCCTTATATCACCTGAAATTGCATTTCAATGCACCTGCGCCATTCATTGTATTGGCCCTAAAATTGCTCGACTCTTCGCTGGCAGCCTAGGTGGATTCCCGTTGCGCCGACGTATGCCATTCGTGCGCACGCCGGATCCATAGCTTGCCAGCAGTGGCGTAGGTCGCGGCGCGACGTCTTGCCGCGGTCTCGCGTCCGCCTTGCACGGAAGCTGCGCGCAGGATCTGGCGCTATAGCGCTTTGGATTAACACCTCCTTTACGGCACGCCGCCTTCTCTAGTATCCCGTCTCATCTGCGTTGAGATACCATGATTTATTTACGGAAGGCTCAGTACTTTTTTCTTTTGGGCTTCTTCGACGTGGGCGTGGTCTCTGCAACTGCCAACCAAAAGATCATAGGCCTTGTATGGCTATGGGCGCTTGCTAATAATCTTTGCTGCCAACTGACACTCATATTCTAATTTTCCCTATTTTAAAGGGTCAGCTGTTAAATCAGAGATCTCAACGACTAGTATGTGTTATGGAATGTAGTTTGTTATTATAGTATTATATTATGTATGAAATTATAGTTTTTGTTATGGAAAATGCAGCCACCTGTTTCAAGATTTGCAAATAAATCCACCTTATTAAATTCACTCTAACAATATTGCCGTTGACATCATGTTTATCTCTGATATGTCACAACGTGGTCACAACATGGGCGTTCTATAGAAACTTCCAGAATAATCTATCTAACCTCTAATATCTGTAATATCTCTACGGGGCGTAGTCGACACGACAAACTGACAGCTATGGGTCCCCGCCCATCAAACGAAAGCGCATACTCACATTACCTTTACTCGGGTGAGTATACACATACTGCCTTATTACTGGTACTGTTCAACGGTCAACCCTGGTACTGCTGCAGCTATTTCCACCCAAGCGTGGCAGACAAGCAGCTTGGTATTTTCACACACAAATTAAATTTATACCACTAAATATGGCAGAAATGGGATGGGATGAAGTCACTGTAATAAGGAAGCGGGCACCTAAAGCCAGTGCAATGAAGTCACAGCAGGTAAGTAGGGGTACCGTAGTACGAACGTACCGGTACCTCACGTGTGACATATGAATGATGATGATGATGATGATGACGCGAACTGCGTGACATCTGCAGACTACAGTGTACACTAGCACGTGTGGTACTACTACTAACGCTTACGGCTAACTGGTGCTACGTTTACAGTTCCATAGGCCTACTACTACGCTACAATATTAGCAGTACATTACAATGCTACAGAGTACAGTGTATTTTTGTTACATGAAAAAGTGATACATCACGCATTCTCATTGATATACACTATACTGTACAGTCACTGAGTCTGAGAGGGTCTATGTCCCCCAGGCCAGGTTACTGCCGGAACGTACCCTGGGTACGGTCCGGTATATATACCGGAACGTACCCTGGTACTAGGCCTATCTAATATGCCGGACCGTACCTCGCCTACTCCACTAACGAGTCTAGGGAGTCGCCTATGCCTACTCCCTAACCCTAACCCGAACCCTAACCATATCAGATAGTTACCAGGGTACGTTTCGGTATACTGGACCGTACCCAGGGTACGTTCCGGCAGTACCCTGGGGGATCGACATAGGTGCAAATCCACTAGCCACCTTAGGTATCACGAAGTGATGCACAGATTTCTGTGTATCATCAACTGATGCACAGACTTTCCGTATATCAAGGAATGATGCAAAAACCCTAACCCTAATCCTAACCCTAACCCTAACACACTTCGTGATACCTAAGGTTATACTTTATGACTTAGGGTTAGGGTTAGGGTTTTTGCATCATTCCTTGATATACGGAAGTCTGGTGCATCAGTTGATGATATGCACAGATTTCTGTGTATCACTTCGTGATACCTAAGATGCCTAAAGTGGATTTGCGCCTCGACATAGACCCTATGAGCGTCACTGAGCTCAGTCAGCTACACTATACCTGCGTGGTTTATTGTCAATGTCACTTGCCTGTACAACAGGCTGTTGACTGTTGTTGCATCATGGCCTCGACTTCTTTTAGGAGCACTAGCTTATTTGAAATTAGTCACGCTGGCCTCTTCTTGTGTTTGCCTTGGGTTGAAATTCACTGTCACTTGACTGCAGATTCCAGTCGCACCTAGTAATAATACATTAGTGGTGATTTTGTTGGTTTTACCTATTTTTCCTCAGAGAATAGAATATTAACTACACTACACTACAGCAACAAACAATCAACTGTACCGGTCCGTTCTGTATCAAAATCGCATCTCCTGGCCCAGCTACACTGAAGGCTCGACTGGAGTTAAGTCCAAGTTTGCCTGCTCTCTGTCTACTGTCTACACAATAGTGAAAATTTTAAGTTTATGAACTCTTGAAAGACCTAGATGCATGTTATGTGGACTTAGTTACCACTGATTTCTTGAAAGCTTCCATTCACCCCTAAGGGCAGCCTTGCAATAAATGCCCCAGATATTAATTTGATAAATAAGCAGCACTCAGTAGCAGCAAGTTACTATGAGTATGAGCAAGCCAGCAGTTTATTGATTCACTGTGGCTATTACATGTGGTGCTAGCTGTGCTATATTTGGGTACTGAGCCAGTTATAGGTTCTTGTATATAGTCTTTTGGACTTTTGATATATATTATTGGAGCTAGACCTATAACAGCCTCTGGCTACGTATTTCACTATGTACATACAAATGTACATAATATGACATTTTTCACGTATTTCACCAAGTTACATCATTTATTTGGTTATAACTTTCACCGCTGACTGTAAAAAAGGCATTATGCCTTTAATCATATAAGTAGCCTGTAGTACCGTAGATAACACAGGTATTCACTTCAGTGCTGCACAATTAATTGAGAAGATATTCCTTGTTCCTAAATTAATGTTCTAAACAGATGAAAAAATCCAGTTGCGGTATTTAATTTCTGCATTCCAATTTCTTCTAATTGGTAATGAAATTATAATATAGTTCAATAACATTAAGAACTTAAAAAAATATAATGCAGGGTTTCTTCTGAGGGAAAATTAGACAACGGCGGTAATGACCAGTTTGGGGAAAAAACGCACATGATGGATTCAAAGGCGTGCAGTAGGCACGAATGTGGATTCAAAGGCAGCCGGGGGGGTGGAAACCTCGCGTGTTTCCGTCATTCATTGACAATGAAATTTATTTTCCTTCTACTATCTTTTCTCGCATTTCCAGTCATTGACGCAGCCATTACTCTACAAAAACGTCTTGTTATTGATCGCCATAGTGATGACCCGCCCCTTACTCTGGATGTAATAACGCTGTAGTAATAACGTATCGAGTCAGTGCTACACAGCGGCGACCGAAAGCAACACACTGGCCACACTTCGAGAGTGGGTCGCAGTACTGACTAATGTCTAGTCGGTATTCGGCGAAAATACCAGATTTTCACCGCTGATTATCTCAGCGTAGGGGCATCGTAGGGACATGCGGTTTGTTTTATATGAACAAGGTAGGACAGCTGATCAATAATACTGCAAAGATTCGTCAAAATAAATGGGAAAAGTTTATTAATTAGACTAACACTGCAACATAATTTCAGCATTTTACCGTTGTACGCTCTCCTTCTTTATATGCTCTTGATGGTTTATATTACATGTGTTCAAGAACGATACATTGTTTACGATAATACCAACCTCTTCTGTACAGTATCGGCACAAGAACAGGAGCAGTATAGTATGCCATCGAATATGAAAATTTTACACATTTGATGAACGTGTCAGCATAGCTCTCCAGTGAATTTGGTTCATAGGAAATACCCTCCTGTAAAAAATATATTTATAAACAAAACAAACTGCCAAACCAAATTTCTTCTCTATATTGGCTTCACACTTACTATAAGAGACACATCAAGTAAGTACGGTACCCATAAAGAGTGGTGGTCTTTTCTAAATACTTTTATATGTTAATCTGAATAAATGTTTCAACAAATGTTGCTCAATCATACACAAAACAAACGCCAACTATGGAAAGCCATCCCCTTCAAAAATCATTTTTAAACATTTCAAATACACAATTTAAAACATTTCAAATTAATTAATAAAAATAAAAATTACTATATATTGTTCGAGAAATTTAAATTCAAAATTTAAAATCAATTCACAGAATAACAAATCAATTTATTAACTTGCAAATTAATTCACAACTTTCCAAAATAATTGCCTGATATACAAATTCCTTCACATCATTGTAAAAATTCATTTTCTAAACGTACAATTTTTTTTTCAAAACAACAAACCAATTTACTAACTTGCAATTTAATTGAGAACATGTTACATAAACTCACAAATGTTCAAATCTTACTTCATCACCCTAACAATTGAAATTATAAGTTTTAAATTAATTTACAGAATAATGAATCAGTTCACTAAGCTTGAAATTAATTTATTACTTTTAACATTAATCACCAGAAATACAAATCTATCCGTTGGTTTCAGAATTATTAGGTAACAAACAACAAATGTATAACTTAAAGTGATTACATCACCTTAAATACTAAAAATTAAAAAAGCATTTCCACTTTTTCACAAAATATAAGTAATTCTGTTCACTTTTTATAGTTAAATTGCTGCACTATACTTCCTGTTTTACTATATTGTTCGATGTGAACATACACTCGTGACTCATACATAGCCCATAGCAAGCAATTAATGTTGGGAACATTAATATCAAATCGTCCAGGTTTTTTGGATTTTTAACTAGTTGAAAAACAATCTTAACAGGTAAGAATTTGACGATACGTTTAGTCCCGTTAGTTCTTACTTTTAATGTAAAAAAATGGCAACAAAATTTTTATAAATTTTACCATAGAAAATTCGTGACGTAGTCAATTTAAATTACAAATTAATCATACAGCTTTCAAAACATATAAACGTTTACAATCAAAGAGCTCATTTAACAATCAATTTATGCAACTTCCAATCTATTCAACACCTCTGAAATCACTTACTAACGTTTACAATTTGCCGCCCACTCTGTTGTTTCCGGTCCGTGTGCAAAACTATTCAGGAAACTTCGAATCGACTTGCATAGGACTTGCAATCTATTCACCACACCTTCCGAACCAGCCAACTACAAACCAAACTTCAAATCAATTCATTCTAAAAGTGCCCGGATGCTTCAGCTCGGATGGATACGCTATTGTAGTAAAGCTTGAGGACAAATGCTTCAAAATGCCGACACGTTGCGTGGCCATCATGATCAACTGTTCCAATCGGATACAGAAAGGATCTGGAAAGACGTTCCACAGGTATTTTTCTATGTTTTGTAAAAGATAATGTGACGTACTAAGAAAGACTAAGAAAAAAATCACCGATTTACGATTAATATTATCCCTATTGACACTGTACTGTACAACTACAAGTACAGTAGGTCAATAATCATTGCAGAATGCATTCGCCGAATGTATGTGTTATGTGGTCCCATACACTCAAATTGCTGTAGTGAAAATGAGTGTATAGATCTAGATCTAGTTAACAAACATTGCCACTGAATTATTCAAAGTAAAAAGTGTCTAAAGTAATTTGTCGTGAGGATCAACCTATAAGGTTTTGATCTATAGGGAAGTGCTAAAACCGCAAGGGCGGTTTCTCGGAGTTACACTTAATACTAGCTTCTGTCAGTTATACTTACTAGAATTAATATTTTCCTGATTTAAAATTTGTTTACTCCCTTGCAAACATCATGTAAAGCTGGGTTTACACTGCCAACTTTGAGTTGGCGAACTGCCGAATTATACCAACTTCCCAACGCGCTATCAACCGTTCTATGAACTGTGCAGCGTGTTTACACTGACGACTGCGAGTTGGCAACTCGAGCGAGCGGTCAGTTCCCAGTCAGGCCATGTATGTAGGCCTACACGTTGAATAGCGTTACAGGTGCCCGTGCGCGAGTTAGGCTGTTACTGTATAACCAACCCTAACGGTAGTCCGAGTTTCCTCTGACCAAAGTCCACACCTACCGAAATCGTCGATGTGGGCATGGTCAGAAGAAACTCAGACTAACCTAACGGTTAACCCCAATAAGTGAATAACAGTTAGACTTAGCTAGCCCATTGCTCAGCCTCACGAGTAAGTGTAAGACTATTGCTAGTATTGCTAGTTGTAGTACTCCAAATGTTCAATCACTTGACTTAGTCAGTACGACTAAACAAACGTGTGAACTACGTGTGAACGCTGTTTAACTCAAGGTCACGCTATACGCGTATCGTACAGAGTCCGTAAGATACGCGTTCGAAACTGGGTTTTATGGTATGTGTGAACGCGCTTTATAGCATGATCAGGCAATTATTTTGGAAAGTTGTGAATTAATTTGCAAGTTAATAAATTGATTTGTTATTCTGTGAATTGATTTTATATTTTAAATTTAAATTTCTCGAACAATATAAAGTAATAATTTGTATTTTTATTAATTAATTTGAAATGTTTTAAAGGACAATTGAAGTCAAATTTTATAACTTCTGTAACGTTTTTATACATAGAAATACATTCAATAACGTATTCCATTTCTAATCCGGGGCCCGCAGTTCAAATCCGCAGTAAGAAACACATGAATATTAATCTAGGTCATGTGACGTCACAGCCCCATGTTGAAACACGCCATTATGTAAACATAGTGCGTGTGGTGTATAAGATGGAGACAGAAAGCGATAATTTCAATGAGTCTAGTGATTACTCAGATGATGATGATATTTATAGTGATTTACCAGTTCGATATAGGTTTGAGCCTGAATATACACAAGAAGAAATTGAGGAGAATCGTCTGAAAAAGCAACGCGAAGAGTCGGCACAAACTTCTCAAGAATCAGAACAGTCACAACATGGCGGAATGGAAGCTTCGGTACCAATTAGAACTGTAGACAAATACTGGTGTTCTTGTAGTGTTTGTGAATTAATGAGTACGGCACCTGAATGTATATGCTGCCATGAGAATGAGAAGACTTGGGTTATTGTAGACCAGTTCGAGGCTAGACCAGGTGAGTCATGCGAGTACACTGATCACCGGGCTTATCACGCTCGGTCAGAATCACATGTATCTGTACATGTACAAACATCTCTACGCAAGTCATGTACATATACCGTGAATGCATTATCCACACAGGTAATATGTATGTACATGAATATAAGTACATTTACAGGCTACATGTTTGCTGTATGCTGTAGTGTAACAATACTTTCACCTAGCATAACATATACTAGCGTGTTAGCACTGTTACGCTATATAATGGCGTATTTCAACATGGGGCTGTGACGTCACATGACCTAGATTAATATTCATGTGTTTCTTACTAATTGGGCGCCGGATTTGAAATGGAATACTATATTGAATGTATTTCTATGTATAAAAACGTTACAGAAGTTATATAATTTGACTTCAATTGTCCTTTAAATTGATTTAAAATTGTGTATTTGAAATGTTTGAAAATGATTTTTGAAGGGGATGGCTTTCCATAGCCAACACTTTTTAAGAAAATTTAAATTTAAATGACATGTGGTCCGCTAGATACAATAATGTAACCCAACAAGAGTAGGGTTACAACACGAGCCTATTCTTTTCTTTGGAGGAGCCACCGAGTGATTCACTCAGGGCGGTTTTATGGTGCGATTTTCGAGACTAGAACTTCCAAACTGGGTTTATTCTAAACACGAACCTTTCTCCGCTATCCTGGAACTTACTGTGTATCACAATACTCTGAATTAAACTAATATAACCTGTTACAAAATTTCGAAGCGACAAGCGGTGATATTTCAAGCGCCATTTCTGTTGACCTGTGACGTACGCTAGACGGAATAATTCTGTCCCAGATAACCTTTTTTATATTTTGGTGAGGGTTATTGGGACAGAACGGGGTGCATTGAAATTTCGTGAGATCGCATGCAAAATGCATGCGCTGCTAATGTGTCCCGTACGCCGGTATCGGCGCTGCAGGAGGGCTAGAGAAAATAGCGCCACAGATACAAGAGAAAACCAAGCTATTGTAAGGCTCGCTCTGATTGGTCTGATTGTTTGTAAATGGAGAATGCGATTTACTAAAGTGGAATGAAGCTAGGTTTCTGAAAAACAATCTTTTAAGAAGTGAATAACGATTGAAGTGAATATTCACGCACATCAGTAGCAAGGTAAAGCCATGTAGAAGGGAACGGTAGGCTTTTTCACCCGCCGATACCGGCGTACCAGCCGAATTAGCAGCGCATGCATTTTGCATGCGATCTCACGAAATTTCAATGCACCCCGTTCTGTCCCAGTATAACGCAACCAAAATATAAAAGGTTATCTGGGACAGAATTATTCGGTCTAGACGTACGCATTCACAATGCGCATAGCATTCAGCTAACTTCGGCTCCTGTGTTGCCTGACATGCTGGCTCTGGTCAGGCTCTGGTGACGTCATGACTGACAGCAGGCATCCCATGATGCATTCGATCTTGGAGCCGAAGTTAGCCGAACGCTATACGCATTGGGAATGCGTACCTACGTCACAGGTCAACAGAAATGGCGCTCGAAGTATCGCCGCTCGTCGCTTCAAAATTTTGTAACAGGTTATATTAGTTTAATACAGAGTATTGTGATACACGTAACATACTACATGATAGTAAGCCCATGGATAGCAGAGAAAGGTTTGTGTTTAATATAAACCCAGTTTGGAAGTTCTAGTCTCGAAAAACGCACCATAAAACCACCCTGACTCCTGAGTGAATCACTCAGGACAGGGGGTCCTCCAAAAAAAGAATAGGCTCGCGTTGTAACCCTACTCTTGTTGGGTTACATTATTGTATCTAGTCACTAGTGTCGTAGTGACTAGTGTAGTGCCTAGACTAGAGGCTAGTGCCTAGCGGCTAGTGCAGTATAGTCCGGGAGCCATGGGGTCATACCCTGCACTGAGAGTTAAAGTTTTTTTCTTT